CCCAACCTCCCAGGTGTTTACATCAGGCTATGTAAACACGGAAACCATTTTACAGTTCTTTTATAAAATAACTGATGAAAGAGGAACGCAAACCGTGTTTACATACGCTCATGTAAAATTGTTTTAAGGCCAATCAGAGCGCGCGTACAATTAGAATTATTTTATAACGAGAAATATTTTAGCTAATAGGTCATAAATGTATCCCCCGTGCCGACTTTGTGCTTAAACAAGTGATACTGGTTATGGTTTGGATGTTTGAGAGCGAGTTGCTATTATTTTCGGAAGATAGTGTGTGTACCATACGTTAAACTTAACAACGCTATTTTTACGTCTGTTTAGTGACGTCACAACTCCCTCTGCGATACATGAAACTGACCGCCTAAAAGCGCAACTAATGTACTACAGTTCCTTTGTTATCTGAAATAACATTAGAGTTTCGATGGCGATTGCGATGGCGAGAAGAAAATTCCCTACTTTCGCTCTATTTACGATCGGACTTGTTTTATCAAGTGATGTCTCATTTCGCGGATTCTTTGTCGAAGGTAAGGTACTTGAAGTTGTATTGCTTTGGAAACTTTGTAAAGGAAACAACGTGTAACGAGAGTTAAAATCGACCGCAATATTTCTTCTTCAGTTTAACTGCGAAATTATTGGGATTGTGATAAATTTAAAACTGGCTCGTCATTAAACTTTGCTTTTAGGCGCTGTCAATGTTAGCGAGAAGCGTTTGATTCAACAAATCGCGAAGAACATAAATCCGAACGTCAGACCCGTATTAAACCCGTCTGAGGCAGTAAATATTACTTTGGACATAACTTTTCACGGTGTGATCGAAATGGTGAGTGTCCTATATTTCAGTTTTCATTGATATATATAGGAATGTTTTGAAATTTCTGTTCGACGCATCTTTCACCATCGAAAGTATCTATGACTTCCTGTCCGTCTCGTTATTTTTTAATTGAACCAAGTTGGACTCGTAACACTTAGACATGCGTGTGTTTGGTTGATGGGCAGGAGAGATTTCGTCCAAGCGACAGACAATAACTTCAGGATATAAACATACGCGCGAGGTTTATCCGGTTGTATGGACCCCGGATTTAGTTCTTTCTTAGCATCCTCGGCATTTTAAAACAAGTACACGCGACTTCCTGAAACACCGTGATCTGCTGAAACTTTTTCTTTCGTTAGACTTTTCGAATTCAACTAAATTTAGCTCGAGGGACATTCTAACCTAAAGAAAGCTCTCTTGTTCAAAACTCAGTTAAATCTGTGAGATATTGAACAATAGGGACATTCTAACCTAAAGAAAGCTCTCTTGTTCAAAACTCAGTTAAATCGTGAGATATTGAACAAATGTGAACAGCTCCCTAACGCTCTGTAATTATTTCGTAGCTAGGTATTTTCCCTATTGGTAAGTCTCCGACGAGCGATAATTGATATGTTATTTCGGAGTAGACAAAGGATTGATAAACAGACTGTTTTGGAAGCAACGAAACAAAACATTTCAAGCTGATTGTGTGAAAACTTCAAATTACAGACAGTCTGAATTGAATAAATATAATACGCTTCAACGCGTGTATTATAAAGGACGGATTAAATCTATTTTAATCGAATCATAATATTTCCAGCCCCAGAATTTATAAAGATAATCAGCTTTCAGCGCCAAGAAAAAAAACAACTTGTTGAAATAGAATAACAGGAGATGTGGTAAACTTTGCTTGAGCTTGAAAAAGCTGCAAATGATATAGTGACGTAGGTTATAAAACGAAGACTTCTGGGCATTAAAACTGGCTCATACAGGCAACATGTTGAGAGAAATGAATGGCTCTTTATGAAAAGAATTAATAATGAATTGAAAATGTAAACAAAAGGGTTTTTTTGCTAAATTTATGCAAATATTCCAAGATGTTTACAAACTGTTCAAGAAGTGTGAAAATATTAATGTTTTTGTGAACAAAGAAGATTAAAAACCTATATTTTAAGGGAATGAAATTAAATAAATTTTCCAAATAATAGACTTGTTTTCAAATAGTTAGTGAGTTCAACCGGGAACGGAAATCCTTGAAAGGTAATCATGGTTTTAAAATCCAAAGTTGAAAGATTACAGTCCCTAGTCAAAAACATCGACACTCTTCTGGCAAGGGTTCAAATAACTTTTTCAAAAAGCGAGACAAAAGGCTGTCGATGGTGTAAACAGGCAGTTGTGCTCGTGTAGGGGCGGTTAGGCGAAACACAAACACCTGTGTCAGTTGGCGGGCTAAACAGACGGCGGCGGCAGACCGCCAGTAGCCGGCTTTAATTAAAATTCTTGTCTTCTGGGCTTGAAAATTTAAAATATGATGATTGTTAGTTTTTAGGTACTGTAGCAGTTTTAATCTGTTCTAAGAGGTATTAATCTCAGGGAAAATATGATATTGGAAGGAAGAACGATTGGAGCGATTTCGGGTCAACTCCTCAGCCCACATATAAACCGCTACGCTAGACATGCTTTTTGACGGAATTCTCGTTTCTAACCCTTACCCTAACCCTAAGCTAATGTTCAATAATGCAAAGTGGAATAGATCTCGGATCCTTTGGGTGCTGAAAAACGCGCGCGAGATCACGCAACTCACACGCGCGTACTCGCGAAGATTGAACAATTTATTGCTTTTTCTTTCTTATCGCATAAAGCGCCAACAGGTTCTCTCTTGCTCTTCCATCTTGCGAGAACGATACACACGATTTGAACTCTGTCATATCATTTCAGTGGGGTGCAGGACTGGCACAGATTCCTTTTCAGAATGCCAAAATAAACGAATATGAGGGGGGTTATTGTACTTTATCAATTGACTCAAAGCCAAACCAGTATAATCGTTTGTAACGAGCTAAAGTAATGCCAAAAACCAAAGGTAGCCAAAGTTCGCAAAATGACCCTCCCCAAATATGCTAATATGTTTTCTTTGCGCGATGGGTGAAATATAGGAATTTTGTTTTAGAAGAAACAGTCGCGTTCTCAACATGAAAACCTGACTTGGTTTATAAGTAAAAAATAAAGTTACCTCGCCTGAAGCTTGATCCTTTTATACCGCCGCACCATGTTTGTGGAATAGTTTACCCGCTAAATTGCGTGCTATCCCATCATTGACAATTTTTAAACGCAACCTTAAGACCTACCTTTTTGGTCAGGTTTTTCTTTAACCTTTTTAGACCAGGCATTTTATTTTATTTAAGTTTTTATGAATATTATTTAATCTGATTTGTTTGATTTTATTGTAAGTTTCATTTACACTTTACATGGTATACTTAGATTGTTGCAGATAAGTTTCATAGGTGAATCATTGTGAAGCTTTACTGATCATTTAAGAATTTGCTCATGCTTAGCGTGCGTATATCGAGTTATGGATGCACGCGGGAAGTTTTGAGAGCACTAAAAATGCGTAAAAATAGCTCGAGGCGCAGCCGAGAGTATAGCTTTTTGAGTGCTCTCCAAACTTCCCAAGTGCATCCATAACTCGATATACGCACGCTAAAAGCGTGAGCAAATTCTTCTATAACAGAGCGACTACAAGGATCTGCGCGAAGAGGTCTTTTATTGTGATAGAGTGCAAAATTCTCACGACGCACAAAAAAAGTGAACAAACTTCCCTATTGGCTGGTCAAAAACACGCCACATTTTATACTTTGGTTTGAGCGAGAACATTTGATCCAGTTAACCGATAACTGTGGATGAAAAGCTCAAAATTTACGGGAAAAATGGTTTTTGATTTAGATTTTTTGCGGCCTTGGTTGTTTAGGTTTTGGTAAATGTCCAATTAACAACTGTGTACTCTATTCCCCAGGTTGAACAAATTTAAAAACAAAAATAAAAATGGAAATTTTACCTTCAAATGTTGTTAATGACCAGCTGGTGACAGTTGGTGTTCCCAGTGAATGTCTTTCGGCCAAAATTTGCGGCAGCTGGTCTTCCGACAAATTTGCGAAACGTGCAACTTGCGAGTTTTTTTCGGCTTTATTTTTGTTGCTTGTTCGATCAGGACCTAAAAGGTCAATGTCGATAGGAAAATTGGGCAGTTCTTCGCTGGTTTCTTCCATATTTCAGAGAGAAGGAAAACTTCACTGCAGCTTAACAGGACGGAAACTCGAAGGCCAGGTGAAAAAAATGCTCACGTCATCTTAGTTACGCACGGGTGTGCGTAAATAAAGATTTTGTTCCTAGCGGCTCAATAGGACTTGCATAATGCAAGCTAGCGCGCTATGTTATAATTCTATGTAAATAGACATTGTTTCTCGCTCGTGTTCACTTCCTTTCGCAGGCGGTTCACGTGCGTTCTCATTTCTGTCAACCCACGACTTGCGTACAGTGTAATAGCTCTTATGTGCGATGACTTTATTTACTAAAAGATCCACCCATACGCATCGTTTCCACTTAAATTTACACGCACCTTGGCCTCTTTCTTGTTTTTTCTATTTGAATATTATTTTTAATTTTAGTGTTTTAGGAATACCGTGGTATTAAAATTCAATACATGTGGGTAAAATTGAGTTTTATGACGTTAACTCTTTAACTTCCAAGATCCGATTGTTAATTCTCCCCTCTGGCTGCTACAAATATCCTTATAAATTAGTTATGAGAATTTGGTGTAAGATTAAGATAACAACTTCTTCTTGAATATTCCCATTACCTGTTTGCTGGATAATGTAAGGATATTACAGACAGAAGTTAAATGTTGATCCTTCTGGGAGTTAAATGGTTAAATAAAGCTCGTAAAGCCTCTTTCCTGACTCACTCTTTTCCATACTGAATGCTGTTTGCAATCGTCACATTCGACAACTTTCTTATGGCGCTTGTGTTTTTTAGTCTAGAACACAAATATTCATCTTGAAATAATTTTTATTCTAATTAATCTCATGGCACGTGTTGATATACAAGCGGTTAGATTTTATCATCCTCACTTCTTACCTTTCTCAAGTAAATAAAATAGAAAACGTGAGAAAGTTATTAATTCTTAAATGCTGTTATGTTTTTCAGTAAGTTATTTGTCAGTTACGAATAATTTCATGATCACAGAGAGTTATTAAGCTAACTTACATTAAAAGAAAATTCTCTGACCCTATTTTCAGTCTTAAAGTTTTCTTAGGAATAACAGAGTAACTTTCTAGCGATTTCATGGAGAGTAGAGTGCAATTAACCACTCATCATTTAAACCACGTAACTGAGTCAAATTTAGTAGTTATAAACTGACATTAAAGCGGTTGAACTTAAACCTAACAACAGCATTCTTCTAATCTTCATTCCAGGCCGAAAAATATCAAATTCTCACTAGTAGTGTTTGGGTACGGCAGGTAAGTCCTAGGAACCAACATAGCCTCGTTCCCAGACCCTCCCGAAATTTACGGGATTTAAATTTTTAATTTATTTTCATTTACGCTAAACATCATGTTTCTTGAATGGCGATTCCTACCCGATCTCTTGACTTAACCTCATTGCGTGACGAAAGTTTCTATTAAAGCATGCTAATTTGGGTTTATCAACTGAGTTGATGATGACCACCTTAAAGAGTTTCTAAAGTTGTCGTTTCGTTCGCCCTTCGTCAGAGCTTCGTTAGCCCTTAGTTAACCTTTCGTGATCACTCTGACGAAAGCATATCGATCGAAACGTCAACTCTTTTTACGGCGGCCAATTTACATTATCAAGTCAGATGATAAAATCAAATCATCTTGTCATAACCCTGCCGTTGGAGCACCACAGTTTCTTTAGAAACTTTAAATTGTGTGCGAATCCATTCAACATTTAGTTAACATCCGCGATGGAAAAACGCACCATCACGAAGAGAGTTCTACTTGACATAGCGAAACCATTCACTTGAGAAAGACCCCCCCTCCCCCCTCCCCCGTTCCCGTGATTACGCACCAGCCCTTTGATCGAT